GCTGGTAGCACAAAGACCACTACCTCGCGCACAGAAGCAGATATTACTGTATTAACTATTTTTGTTTGTTACCACAGGCTAACAGTTATATTTTCATTTTTACTTTTTATGGGGTAGATGCAATAAAATTGTATCAGCTGGCCAAGCACAATCTAAAGTTCCAAGTTAAATCATCCCCCTGTTTAACTTGAGCTTGAAGATCAATATATCCGAAGAAGAGTTTATGGCATGAATTTTAATAAGCAAGATTAGATTTCTTTTAAACTAAATGGAGATAGAAGTAGATTCTGATAACTCAATTATTAATACTTGTTACTTGAGTGATATTAATGAATCCCTACAGGCTAATCATGGAAAAGGTTGTTGTACCACCCGCCTCAAAAACAACTCTTTTAGACCGTGTTCCTAAATATAGAAATCTTGTCCGCAGGAAGAAAATAATATGGGAAGGTCAATATAAGTCCTTCATTTTGATTGAAGTGTCCATCCATACCAGATATACATTTCTTATATTGTTATATCTTATAGTAATCCCACGCAATTGGTCGAGAAAGGCGTGTCCGGTATCAATTAATGATGTATCTATTTCTAGAGGAATATTGAACGAGGGACATGCAATTATCCACGTATTTGAGTAATTAAAGAAATTATTAATTGAATGTGCGTTAAAGCCACTTTTAATTTTTCACACATTATCTGAAATTCTGTCACACCCGCAATTCAGACGTCAGAAATTTTCTAATAACGTTTGACCTAGGATCATTGCACATATTTGATGCCATTTTAACCTTTTAATATTAACTTATCGTGCTTGCTCTCTCTCGCGTCGTCACTAATGAAGTTTCTTTATTTCTTGTAGTCGATGATCTGTCTGGGACATTGCACACTACGTTTGTCAATTACAATAAGTAACAGAATCCATTTGATTAATCTAAAAGCAGATTCATTATGACACCTTTCATTGAGGCAAGAATTATTATGGCAATCAATTCAGTATGATGAATTGAAGAAGCAATCGCTGAGGCACTTCGCTTAAAAGGCACATATCAACTTCAAGCAACTGACACATACTCTGAATGTATGTAAAAGAAAGTAATACCGGAAGATCAGAGGAACGAACTTCTTTAATATCTCCAAATCAATGGTATACGGCACATATCTTGAAGCTGTTAGCTTAAATGCAATTGTTTGAAAAGGTCAGACATGCTAAGGACTTGTTATTTATGTTTCTTAGTTATAAATAGTAATCTGTAGGCTTATTTGGTGGGTGTCGCCAAGGAAGCGAACACACTGCAACTGGGTTTGGCACACTTATTACACAGCAATATGCCGATGATCCTACAGGTATACAGAATGCTCTCCGAGGCAATTTTTAACCTATATGAGCTGCACTAATATTAGTATTGTGCTGAGGTAAGAAATGCTCACCCTTCAGAACACCTGTATATCTGTGGATTCTTTTAAGAAAAATTAAAAAAAATCCATAAGCAAAAAATATTGCAGGAAAGTCGTTTGATTGTTCATACAAATGGCAATACTGATATTTAACAAATTAAAATTGCAGAAACTTCTACAATTAATGACTTTTGTGCGTGCGTTGTTGCTTCAGGTATTGTTAAAAACCAACCAGGATAAGAAAAAAACATCATCACTTTAAAAAAAAAAAAAAAAAACTCGTCGACTTAAAAAATATTTTTTTTTTAGAAATGGTGTGACGTCAACACGTTTCCTCTATTGTTCAAAAGATATACGTTCTCACTGATGTCATATATTGAGTAGATGACGATAATTTAAAGAAGACTGACTCGACATCGTTTTCTTTTTCAAATATTTTATCATACATTGCTAATGTCATTTATAATAAATCATAAAACGTTTCTTTTTACAAATTGGTATGTCCGTCGTTTACATGATTCTGTTTACTTGATAAAAGATTTTCCCCCCTACAAGAACATGTAATGAATTTATACTTTTCCTAGCTTTTGATCTGACTAAAAACATCGAGAGCCAGACAAATCAGTTACAAGGGATTATATTTCCTCAGTTCTCGGACCAATACTGATTAATCATCAAATATTGTAACCAGTGGGCACAGATGTCGTCAATTTAGTAGGTTTATTCTAGTTCAGTAACTCACGTATGATGGATTATACCAACCCGGGGTACCTTTGGTCGATTTGTAAGAAATTTATTATCCTCTACATCTTTCTTACTGACGAACAGCTAATTCGGGTATTTCGGTTGATCATGCTTAGTTTCTAGCAAATTAAAGGAACGGATTCACCATTTTCTAACGTTGATTTGGGTCTTGAGAATATATATCCTTTCTAAGCATTACTCACCTTCTATAATACCTAACCAAGTGATTGAGATTTCATTCAAGATTTATGATTTTCATATTTTAAAGTCGTTTCGTGGCTCTGTCACTTCTATTGCGGAACCGGTGAATATTGTGTAATGTAAACGGTCGATCTCACCGAGAACCGTGCCAATTCTGGTACACGGTGCCATTGTTGATTACATCAAGATATCTTTGATTACAGCAGGGTAACTACAAAGAGTAACTTCTTGAAGAAGAGTTCCTTGGATAACCACTACAATTGTAGAACCGTTCTTGAACCACTTGAATTTACTGCAATGTACATTGCAAATAGGTAAATTCGTGTGCTACATTCTGATACGTTATTGGAAATAGGACACCAAAAAAAGAATTTCCTATGCCTTTGTTTTAACAATATTAACCCATTGCTCATGTACCCATGTATAACATTATCCGACATATGATTAATCAAACGCAGATGTTCTTTTTTAATTTGTTGCTACCTACCAGTAAACGATGCTCCGAGAATCTGGTGTAAATGTCAGGACTATATAAGAAAAGACAACAAGAGGTTATTTTAGTACCATGTGATCTTTGTTATAAAATGATATTATCTAAACTATTTGTAGCAATTAGAATTTGCATTTGATATAGAAAATGTACTTGATGATTTGTGTCATATTTCAATTAAAAACAAATCAGACAACATTTGCAGTATACATTTACATACCATTACTAACATATTAAGAGAACACGCTATGAAAATTCCATAGAAGAAACCTAACAATAAATTTCATAATAATTGTAAACTGAGTTAGCCTATTGTGTAAATTGTGTACACCGTTGGAAAGTTTCGCAGGTGGTGCAATGTAGTCTCTTTTTAGCTGCTCTTAATATCAGTCATAGTATATCAGTCCATCTTTTCCTCAAGTTAAATAGGTGGTGCTTATGCGGTCTCTTGTTTCTTGCTCTGAATATTATTAATTTCAACTTAAAAATGTTAAGAAAATGTAATGAAAGAGCTTAGAGGTTTTAAGCTTTCTGATCATATATGCACACTCTCTGCTTCCGATCCTATATATCTTAATAAGTTACCTCTTCAATGAGAATTTTACAAAGTGGGCGAGCCCTTTGAAGTATTCAGTCATCGTAGTTGAAGCTCAATTACCACTATCTAAACACTTTGAAACTAAATATTGTTCATTCACTAACGATGTTCCGTATGCACCAAAAGTGAAATTGAACCTCATTTGACTGTATTCTGCCCGATTAACATTAACTTTTAATATGAATATATATTTTGTTTGCCCCACATACAATTACCTTAATTATTTAAAGATTGGCATAATTAATGCTTAACTTTTGATCCACTTCTAATACTATTTTAAATCAGAAGAAATTCGCAAAATGGACGATTAATTAGACGATTTAGATAAACTTGGTGACATTAACTGTGTGTAACACCTTTTTATAGACCTGTCCAAGACCGTTAACGTGGTTGAGGAAGAATATAAATCAAGGTTATTGCATGTCACATAAATTCACATAATTCTGATATTCATTTGCTCCGTCGATCAGTAGGAAGAAATCAAGATATATTTTATGTTACTGTTGCTCATAGGTTAAAAAAAAATTGAACACGCGAGGTGAGTCATAAAGTGTCGGACTGAGCAATAATCGAAATGTCATATAAAATAAATAGCCTTAGTGTAACGTCTTTAGGCTCTTTTATCATATATGAATTTGGTTTGTGTGGTTCGATGGAATCTAAGATTTCAATTAAGGTGTAGATAAATATATTTAGTTAATTGTTAGTGGGTGCATCCAAAAAATTAGAATCATCTTTAATTACATTTACTGTATGTATTTACGGTTTCATGAATATGGGTTATCTTCACCTTTTATAATGGTCAGAAAGTTAAATATTTTTCTTGGTCCGTGACCTGTAAAACTGACTTCAATACAAACTTGAAAAACACATTTGACCTTCATTGTGATAAAGAAAATAAAAACCAATAAATATAAGTCTTTATGAGAAAAAATTACCTCAGATTTTCTGTTTCTGTGTTAATACGAGGTTTTGTCGTTATTTTATCTACGATTAACGAAAAGAGAAAACTGATTCCACGTTCTCCTTAGTGATACTTTATGGTCTGGTTGTATATCATATGAAAGGAAGCATCCTATATGTGTCTAGTATACATATAACATCGATATCTTCAGTCAATAATGTATAGAGTTTATTTATTAAGAACAATGCCCTCGTGTTGTTTATAGTTCATTAAAAATTGTAAGGATACTTATTATACCTGATGAAGGTCAGTAATTAATTAGAAAATAATATTGTCGGGAAAAATATTTTCTTATTATGTCCAGCGATGCGTAGTTAGCAGTTTTCTGAAACAATACAGCCTCGTGGACATCAGTAGACTACACAGCTTCATTCAGGATATCGATCGAGTATGTACGAAGATTAACTAACGAATCAGCGACCATCTATCATAGAGTATTTATAATATATTTATCTCGATTTATACTATTCAGTCCTTTCTCGTGATTCTTGGCGCTCTTTTATAACTTTACAGACTTCAGCTTTACAAAAAGTTTAAATCGATTGTTATTGCAGCTATTTAATAGGTACGAATTTGGTATTTTGAAGTTTATTCGATTAAGACTGACAATGAATCAAAGTGAATTTATAAACGATACATTACAAGTGTTATTTTCACATCATGGTGCCGCACCACCTTTATCTGAAAACGAAACGTTCATAATGGAAAACCATACACTACTGCGTCCAACACATTATTCAACATCATTCCAACTTATTGCGGCTACCATAAGTGCTATCATTTTCATAGTGGGTTTAATTGGAAATGTTTTAGTGGTAATCGTTATCGCAAGGACTAGAAGTATGCATACTCCGACCAACTGTTACTTGCTGAGTTTAGCCGTAGCGGATATTCTTGTTTTGTTATCAGCAACATTACCAGCCATCCCTGAACCCTTTTTCCAAATAGACGAGTGGAGGTTCGGCCGAGTTCTGTGTTCCTTGTTGATCTTTTTACAGTACCTCGGAGTAGATGCTTCTTCTGCGTCTATAACCGCGTTTACAGTGGAACGGTACTTTGCTATCTGTAAACCTATGCGAGCTCAGACAATGTGTACAGTAAATAGAGCGAAAAAGATTATCGTTGGTATTTGGATATTAACAACCATATATTGTTCACCGTGGTTAGGACTAACTGACTTAAGACGGGTACAGCAAACCGATGGGCATATCATAGAAAAATGTGATTTCAGGTTATCAAGATCGTCATATTTGGCTTATTTTATGACGGATTTGGTTATATTTTATGTTATTCCTTTTATAATATCAGCCGTGTTGTACTGTTTAATTGGACGTATCCTGTTTTCGGATAGTTTAAATATAAGTCGTGGAGATAACAGAAGTGATATTCATGCTAAAAGACATTCCCAAGCTAGAGTTCAGGTAAGTTATGTAAGGGTAAAATCAGACAGCAATATATAAACCTGCGTTGCATCAAATACATCAGTTTGGATGACCTCGTCTGAGCAATTAACTGTGGTCTTTTTAAATTATCAAACAACCAAGGATGCTCGCCAAGGATGCTGATTTTTCTCATCACGTCTCAGAGTGACTTCTGGTCTTCTGAAAGAAGGCACATTATCTGCTTTGCCAAGACACCTGCTTCTGCAATTACTGTAGTAGCCAAGAAGTAATTTTTGGGGACTTCAGGAGCTTAAAAAGTAAACAAGGTCCCAACTACGCATAATCGTGGAACATGAGATATCATTGTTCCTTTGACTTCAATATTTTCCGAATGCTCGTAGTCTTAGACGTAATGTTCCTGTTTAAATAATTAAACCACCACAAAAGCAAAAATCATCATCTCGTATCTACCTGAAATTGATACATGCACATTCACAAAAGCAAAACGATTGCACTCATCACTCTACCCAGGTCCATCAAAATCTGATTTGCAGTCTAACTAACTGCGATCAACTCGATGGTCTCAGATTCCTATGACTCAGGTCGACAACGACATCCAATTTTTGATAGAACATGCTAAACTCATACTCCAAAGTCGTTATACCAGATACCCCCAGTGGCACCCCAACTACCTGATACCCTCTCCCTTTTTAAGTACAAATAAGTTCAAGGAATAAAGAAAGAAAGGGCGGTGAAGATTATTTTCTGAAGAAACTATACCACGTTTTTTATAGGTTTGAAATACTTCAGAGTGGTTCACTGGTCATTCTGGATTATAACTCAATCTTGATCATCATACTAATGGTGAGGAGACACAGGAGAGTAAAATGACGCGACTTGGTATGATTTGATGAACAGGTTTATGCCTGCTGATGTCATATCCAGTTAATTGTTCAAATAAAATTAAGTCATTTCTATTTTCATCACCATTCTTGATACGAAGGCGTTACTGTGTTAACAAATTTAAAAATAATTTGCCAAAAGATTGATGCCATTCAGTGTTTCTGACATCAAGGCGTTGACATACCTTTAAAACGGGGGAAACTCTTCTGGCAAATAGAAATTCCGACGTCATATACATGTATAATTAACAAAATAAAGGCTTATTATTAACCTTAACATGAACAATACTCGCGATAGCAATTAATTCTTATGGCTTCCATATCGAATTTAATTGTATATTCTTGATTAGCATAAGTTCATTTCTGAGTATGATATAGGGAATAATAAACAGGCTTAATAAACAGGCTTTTAAACATTTCCGCTGTTCATAGTCTTCGGTTGTCTTTTAGGACACATTATGCACATGTACTTCTTTATATTTACTTTAGGCAAACCCGTACAACGACCAGGTAACGAGTAATACTTGCTCGAAAAATATACTTTCCAGAGTATAAAACTTGGAGAAATACATGTGCAATATAGGAAGACAATTTCAATTTGATTACAAACTAACCCCATGTCAGATTTTCATTATAAACAGTGTCTTGGGAATCATATAAAGTTCCTATAAGTTGATTATTAAATCAACAAAACAAAAGCGTGTCCCATGACAATTATGGTGCTTAATGTTCATAAGCAAAGCAAACAGTGTTAAATTATATCTTAATATCTAATGCACACACAGGTATCCTACTGTTTATAAGGAAACATTGTCCAAGAAAAACATAATATCGTGTTATTTAGCCATTAGAACTTTAACTTGCGCTAATTGACCTCCTTTAATTTGTTGTGGGAATAAATTATCGGAGTTATATTTGCCCAAGTGACAATAGGCCACATACTTGTTTTGTAGTTCGATCACTTCTTTCGAAAAACAAGATATTTAAAATACTTTGTTTGAACTCAAATATTTTTGATGCAATTGCAAGTCATTTAAAAAGTTGCCTCAAAGCGTTTATAATTTATATTAAGGGATAAATGTACATCATTTTGAACAAAGGGCACTTTTAAAAAGTATATATTGGTGCGTTTCAGACAGAAGTACTTTTATCATCAGCGTCATTTTAACCAGGCTCTATAATTGTAACAGAGACCTTCATGAAACTCCAAATTGAATCTAATAGTATGATACTGGCACGATGTCTCCCATATTCCAAATTGCATTATTATATGGAGAATGAGAGCCATTAGGGGTGACATACTCTCAAGGAATCAATTACATTTTTCTGGAATAGTGTCAATTAAGGTATAATACGGTGGATAACTGTATTACTGGTAAACGGATATACTACGTAAGATTTTTTGATGTACTTAGGAAGCAGGTTATACATCAGTGTCCTACATTAAGACTACTAAAAATTACAAATAGAGATACAAATCGATTTGCAGTAAATTAAAAAGGGTCCAAGGCGAAGATTACAGTTACTGTTAAATTGGGGAGCCACATTTAAAATGTTAACATAATTCGGAATCAGGTTTATATCAATACAGCACATTGAGATTACTTAACAAGCACAAATTAAGATACAAATCGATTTGCTGCTTTTGAAATAAAAAGGGTTATGACAATGATGGCAGTTAGATCAACGTCACAAAATTATTGATTTTGGTTTGCTCTTAGAAAGTGTGTGTCCCTTGAAAAGTTCCAGTTCCATATTAAGATAATCGATTTATTTGAAATAATTGAGTTAGTTTGTTCATCGATATTTCAGTTCTTTCTCATTATCTTGATTTTGTGAAGTACATTTATACCACCTAAAAAAAGGGTTGATGTTCCTATTTTGAGTTTTCTGGTAGCGACTGATTTATATTATAACTACTAACATCCGAAATATTTAAGTGAAGTCTACTCCCTCAAATGAAAAGTTAATTACCTACAACTAATATATTGCCATTATGTTGTTTTGGTTTTCCGGTATTGTTTTGCGACTCTGATCGTTAGTACTTCCGGTTTTTCATTTTTCATTTAAGCATTTAGTTTCTCACACATTCACATTATATTCGACCGACTTTCTTTTCTAGAAATATATGCGTTGATAATTATATATAATATATATTATAGTACCTTACGTGACTCAGAACATTAACTTCAAAATGGTAATTATAGTCAAATTGACTTTGCGTTTACGGAAACGTAAAGATAGGTCCAATTTATAATTTAGAATGTTTTGCCTTTATACAGCGTTTTGATCTTTGGGCTTTGGTGGAGATGGGCTTAATCCAACCTGGCTACTGGTATAATCTGAGAACAACTGGCTTTTCAACAACTGATTTGCTGTCATAAGCTGAAACAAAATAAGCTATTCCATTATTTGTGATGTCGTTAAGAAGCGAAACATCCAGTAGTAGTCAATTTCTTTAAATGAGACTTTCTTGTTGGATACCTTGAGTCAACCAGAGACAAGCACTCTTTTACAGCTGATTTTTCAGTTCACCTAACAGTTTTCATGTACCGTTAAAGTAAGATGCAAGTAAGAATTTATTTCATTGAAATAATAATTTTACTTCATCTATGATTGGCTCTTATTCGGTCTAAATAACGATTTACGCCTGCATAAATAGACAATTTCCTCAAGAGCTTTGGTTACACCTGAATGCATAATATGTAATGGTTTCAAATACTGATGCTGGACAATAGACATGTGCTCAACTCACTTTACAAGTGAAAATTAGTGAAATATTGTTACCTTATCGATTTAACCCATGGCACCGATTTATATCATCAACTCACCAAGAATATACTCTCGCCTTAAGACATACATTCTTAATCCTGATATTGGAGGTTTCAAGATTAAATCCAATTCTTGATGCCGAAGACTCGTAGGCGATTCTGTAAAAAATTGCATTTTAATCCTCCATGTATGTGCGGAAAGATACTTTTCACTGAGATTGATTGAATTTTCAAAAATTATACATTGAGTTCTGCTACGGTCTTGTAAGGTGTATAAATCGCGAGAAAACTTGGCACAACCTAAAACAAAAACCCATGGATATGGAGACTAATGGCCAATACCTTTCGGGCAAACAGGGCCGCGGGGACCTGTGTAAACGTAGCATGACTAACAAGCTGTGATAAACAGAAATATATTGTAATTATTCTTTTTGATGTACTATTAAAATTTGATGTGAAAGTAATAAAAACAGGAAAACATTGAAGTTTATTGCAAATATAATTAGCATAGTTCATTGTGACTTTTTCCGAATTTTATGTCACAGTTAAAGCTTCAGTAACAGTATATTTTATTCAAAGCACTTTCTTTCGATCCATTGCATAATAATTTTGACTATATCTCATCTCAAAGTGCCGAGTACCAAATACTCATCAGCGCAGGACAGTGTCGTTTTCATACAACAAATTATATTTCAATTTTCATGAAGTGGAATGATATGAATGGACGAATACGTCCACCGAAATGAGCTATTGAAAACAGGCAACGCCATACAGTGAGCAACGAGGGTATTTTACTCAACTACAGTATTCAGCTCACGCATATGCATTACGTGTCAGAATAGAAAACCGTATCGATTCTTTTGGGGTGTCATTTTCTGGCAATGAGAGGCACTATAATTGCAATCATAGGACATATTTATTCAAAACGTAATTTATTTCAAGGGTTCTCACTTCAAGTAGATTAGCTATAAGTGCTAACAAGAGTTCCTTATCAATACATCATCGATGAAATTGCAACTTGTAGTTGTCAGTGAATAAAAAAAGTTGGAATTTGACCTTCAGAAAACAGCTTGACGCACTATTTACCACGTCCATTTATCAGCGTGACTGTTAAGAAGAATACAGACCATCCAATTACACGATTTCTTACGTCTCTGAATAAATGTTAATCGAATAACATTTCTTTAGTCTTTTCATCATTATTTTTCTAACATCGATTTATATTTGTTATATAAGAACCAGTAAGAAATGACAACGTTCAGTTCGTCTGATGCTATGTTCCCAGTGGCAACGGCGTTTTCAGGATGGACTTGAGACAACGTCTCCGGATTGATAAACAATCTGGTTTTTTATTTTCTGTTCGAAAGTTGCTCAAGTGGAAAGTTGAAAGTGGTAGATGATGCAAGACAGTGGTATTATTCTTATGGCTGAATTATCTTTTCTTAAATTTAATTATCAACGATAGTTATTGAAGTAATCGTTCAAATTGACATTTTAGTCATTTTGTGGACATAATACATAATATGTAACGCTTGTATGTGATATAATATTTTCAATCACATAACGTGAAGTTGATCTGCTGATTGAAACATGAATAATACTGATTCGTAAGTCCTGGTTACTACCAATAAACGAAAAAACAACAAGTTTACATATTAAATAAAAAGAAACAACATCAAAATTTTACATCTTTTTTTTAAATAAAACGATACAGATACATTAACAGCCACAAATACAACTACATTTATACGGAGACATATTTCTGTTATGGACCTAACCTTGGTTGTGGAGGCCGAGATTGAATTCTGTCAACCGTTCAATTCCCAACAAGATTAATCACTGTACTGCACTATGTCATTTCCCTATACCATTATATTTATATTGTATTATACCATTTCCTTTTGACATGGCAATATATCATATTTCTATCTCTTTATTGCATCCGTTCAGCCATTGGGAGAGGGAGAAATCGCTAATACACTTGGAACCTGCACTTGTGCCTTTAAGTGTTTCTGGAATATCATGGAATCATTAACGACATCGAGTGGGAAATTGAAATTGTGCAATAGATATAGTACCCATCCTAAATAGACACACAATGATAGACAATCACTTTTAAATCATCTTAATGACTCGAATAACCCATGATTCGAATTACTTATGATAGGATATCCCTTTGATCGGAAACTGAAATAATTATTTTGATGATGAACTTGTGACTTAGGTCTATTAGTACAGTTGGTCACGAAAGGTATAAATTAAAAATACTAATGAGATGTCAGACAACATCTCATGTATTCTGATTCGTTTATCAATATAGTTTTATAAAAATCCAGTTCAACCCACTCCAAAGGTCAAAGATTATATGTATTCGAAAAAATTTGGCGGTGGCCCCGTCAACCCCAAGTTCTGCAGCAGCCAATGTTTTCAAGTAACCATTACAACATACATAAAAAAAATTCTTACATCGTCACTTGGGGATTTTATTGAAATAGATTTAGTATTCAGCATCTTGCATGTACGTTGATTGGCCAACGGGGACATAATTAACAATTGGAACGTCATCTTGAAAGAGACAAAAAATCATGAAATGTTGGCGTTTTAAGATAAGATCATCTGAAACTACCAATTATGAAGACGCCTTTTACTAAGATATTGCACAAGAAGATGTATTCGCAGATACTGAAAAACAAAAGAATTTATAGAGGATGCAGCCAATAAAGTATAGAAACCAGGAAGGAAACTTAAATAAGAACAATACTTATTATTTTACTAATTATAAATAGATAGTCATGTTATAACATTACGAGCGTACCAAGCCATCAACAGCAGTAGTGTATAACAAATGTACTGTCAGAACGTTTTCTTATGTATATAATTGACTCAACAAGATCTTCATTTAGTATCGATAAGGGTAAAATCTGATTAAATTTATAACATGAAATGTATCGTACAATTCTACATCAAATAGAGACAATGACTGTCAAAGCTGCAGATATCCATTCCGTTGAGTCCAGTGCTTCAGATTTGGAATTTTGATTGTAATTTTGTAATTGATGTTTCATGTACATTGTATCTGATAATGACACAAAATGTATTTTGAATTAGCGATTGTAGTCACAATTAGAAAAAAATCATTGAGAACCGAGTGACTCATTCAAGATAACGATGAATAGCAGCCAGGTGTCCACAGGTATATATTTAATATATGTTTTGTATGCATTCTGTTGGTGATCATCACTTTATATGTTTGATTTTTTATTTGTTTTCAGTAACTTGGACTAAATGTATGAAACGCCTGTTTATTTTGTATTAAGTTAAAGCTACCATATCAATCAGTTCGAATAATATTTATATTTACAATAAAATCAGATATCTCGTGTCAGCTGGTTATCTCGTGAAATTCAAGCTTCAATAACTCCTAAGCGTGACATAATGCCATTGAAAACATATTTGAATAGTATGCATACATCCCATTAGTTATGAAACCATGTTGAACGTGTATTCAAATGATATTTTTTTTGCTTTCACGTAACGAGCAAGCAGTTTCACTCGACTAACAAAACAGATACTGGTAGAATCTATCTAAGAAATCTACAAAATACACATGTGGACTGACAAAAAGGGATACCGAGTTGACGAATTTAAGTGTTGAGATATAACCTATATTATTTTAGATGATTTTATCTTTGAAATTGAGTGAAAATGTTCAGATCGTGACAAAATTTGCTTGGTGTCACCCTTAACTTGATAGACACTAAGGAAGTCTGTGTAGATGAGTACGGTCTGATTATCGACGGAAAGGCAACATATCAACTAACGAAATGATACTGCTACATCCATAGTCAACCTATCTAATTATCTTTTAACTTACACCTTACTTTTATCATAAATCTTTACTTTGTGACCTAGGCCAGTGCTTTTGTGAGATTATGTTCTTATCACTATCTAACACAACATATACACTCATAAAGTGTACAAAATTGTACTTCAGAACAAATCTGATATATATTTTAGAATATAAGTATGAAACAAGAGTTTAACTAATGAGCATGTCTGAGCCCTATCTTACCATGATGAAAACAGCCCGGCGAATGATCTTGCGAATCGGTTTACTTAGGTTTTGGAGACATCCGAAGCTCTAGGTTGTGATTTACGAAGGTAAGAACACGAAGGAAATTGCTCTAAGGGCTTACATAGTTTAGGTAGTGTTACTGTAACAGTTTAACCGTAAAGTTGATTATCTATAAGTAACAATAAATAATAAGGTAACGGATGGGAATATTACTTCAATTAATTAAAAAAAAATGATGACATTGGTTTTGTACTTCGATTATTTCTAAGACACGTTCAGTAATGCTTTATCAACCATAAAGTTGAAACATGAAGAGACTTTTCAATACTTACAATAGTACAAATTAATTTTCAAACATAATGACATTTACTTCGATTATTACTAAGACAGTTTAAGTAATTTTTACTTCGATTATTATTTAGACATTTAAGTAGTGTTTTACTAACTGTAAAACTGAAGTATTCGAATTAAAAAAACAAGTAAATACAACACGTAAGATATTATACTTGCATTACTACTGGGACAGTTTAAGTAGTGTTTTATCAACCATGAAGTTGAAACATTAATAGACCGTGTGCCTTTAAATGCTTAAAAAGGTAGCTGTGTCATTACATCTTTTAATTACAAGGCTTTAGATGGTGAATAGACCTTAACTGGTATTCATTGATGTCCTGAATTGAAGAAAAAGCAATCTTCTTGTCTGTAGGCAATTCAAACTCGAAAACCTTAGTGAAAAACTGACAGAAATTTGAATGACTATCTTTCAAGATCCTTCCTGAACTAAAACACGTCATTAGTGATCAGGAAATGTTATTGAAGGAAACTTCATTCTTTATCAGTTTTTGTCAGATTTTTGTCAAATTGGAAGAATCTTGTAATAATCAATGGTATTGATGGAAATCTTCCGATATATTTCAAGATTCTTCAAGTGTCTGTCGTGTTTCCTCTCGCCAGCTTTATCAATTCCTATATGTAGTTTATATCTATGAAACTAAAAATGAAGAACTTGTTGAAATAGAAATGAATAGATATCAAATTGCTAATTTTTATGCATCAGGAAAAAAAATGACATTTTGAAGAGTACTTAGAAACTTTTTCCACCGCTTTGTATTCTGCCGTTATATTTCTGATTATACGTTTCATTTACTTTTATTTTTATGACTGCACTTGAAAAACGCTCTATAATAAAAAAAAAATATATATATAATTTAGAATTGTTCAAATAAAAGCTATTTCTGAATTATAAAAGGAGCCATGGGTATTTTTAAGAAATTTAGCGTGCTCGCTGACATGTATGTCCAAGTTTGAAATCACGCCACTTTCCTTGAAAAGCTTTCTTCAAAGCACAGTGTACACTGGCGATGCTCTTCTTCTGACTTATTATGAACAAGACAGTTGGACGTAAAATTTGATTAAATTTGCAAATCATTAAAGTAAGGCCAGGGAACCCAATTTTCTATAGAAACTGTACTCTAATCCCATTAACAACCCGGAACAGAATTTTAATATTTCAAAAATATATGACATCGTCAACGTCTAATATTAGGCCCAAGATTAACTTCAACTGTGGCATTTCCATGTATGGTAAAATCAATTAGTTTGTATTTGCTCATAGACGTTGAATTTTGAACGCTATAAAGCTTTCATCGGCCAGCTTATCTTAAGATGGCCCTTTGTTGATATTTCTATAACTTTGTTGATATTTCTATAACTTTGTTGATATTTCTATAACTTTGTACAACTAGCTATAGTCAAAGATATTTCATCCGGATTCATATCATAACACAAACATGATCAGTCCACATAATTTTCAGGTAGAACGAATAGAAATTATAACCATTAATCCATTACCCCTTACACAACCTAAAAGTAAAATTGACTTCTCGTGTTTATGTTTTGAATTGGACGCTGTCGTGTAAAATTCTTTGCTCGACTATATAAGGCAGTACATACAATGGCCATATAACTTGACATCTACCAACACGACCATGATGGTCAAAGTCTGAACGGTTAACCATTATAACCATACCATTTTTTCCTCTCTTTCAGGTTGTCCGTATGTTATTCGTGGTTGTGCTGGTGTTTGCTACTTTATGGATGCCATATCGAGTTATCGTAGTTTACAACTCATTTGCTACCAACAAATATATGGACCTATGGTTTTTACTTTTTTCACGGTCAATGGTGTATATAAACAGTGCTATCAATCCCATTTTATATAATGCTATGTCAGTCAAATTTCGTCGTGCCTTCAGAAATCATCTGTGCTGTGGTAGGTACATCTTTTATAACTTTAAGACTTGAACTTGATTTCATAAATGTTCAGTGGTCAAAGTTACCTGCGTCAAGTAAAATAATCGGATGCAGGTAACAGTGGGGTTCTATATAAGTCGTTTGTAATCCTTTATAGATGAATTATCTGAATGCATACTGAGTTCCTCTATTGATCGAACTTCCATGTCTATAATACTTTTGATCTCATAAGGTTCCATGTTTCCTTATTAATAAATTGTAACTGCACGAAGGGTATTGTTCTTTGAGGTTTTGTCGCTCATCAACTGCTGGGTTGTTGAGTTTTATGCCTAAAGCTTTCGGCTTGGTTTTGATGATGGTTTTTGCATGAAGGTGGAATGAAACATATCCTTTGTTTCACTCAATGTTGTATTAGATTAATATTTAACTATGCAGAGCTAAAGTTCTTGCCTTCGGATTCCAAACATTAAAGAAATAAATTTATTGATCAGAAAGTTTCCATTTTTGTGTACTTATAACAATATCGTAACAATACTAAACAGTTGGAATCTAAAGTAAATTAATTTTCTGTAGAAATGAAGAATTAGTTTCAGCAATCTTTGTAGTTACTTTGAAGCAAGAAATAGTTGCATATACATGTACTTCGCTGTCTGGCGTAGCGTCAACAGTTTAGCTTTATAATTGGCTGTCATAAAAACGCTCTCTTCCACAAAAGGGTGTTCCTTTTTTCTTTATTACAGCCTGAAGTAAGCCTTTTTTACGTTTCAAAGCATCTCTTTAATACATTGAAGATTTCATCAGTCGGTATTCGGATATCCGACACTGCTTTGAGATAAAAAAAAAATCACATGAAAGAAAACTTGGTACTTTCTTCTACCAATTTAAGATAATAAAAAATGAAAGAGTGTTAAGCGAACATGAGATAGCGGCAAATCGTATTTGACCAGCTGATTTGATGTCAGTCTCTATTATTAGACCGACGTTTTGTTGATCTTTGTTTTTGAACTTTTTTTTCATAGTGTAATATTCTGCGTAAAGTCGGTAAATATTTCTCTAACATTGATATTAATTCTGCTTAATCCTGTCATATTTTTTCTTTTCTTTGAACTTCGCCCATGTTCCACAAATTCAAAGGCAGAATTTATGAAGCTACCAATCAAATAACTGTGTTATCGAGAGTAAATGTAATTTTTGCCGTATTATTCAGCCGATTTGATAGACTGTAGGGCGGAAACGTCATATCTGATGTTGATCTTCCTTTAAAAGTACTAAATCGGCCATTGATTACATATAGTTTGAGTTATCATCAAAACACACCAATGACTATGTAGTATTATTAAGAACCTAATATGTGGATTAGTTTTCATAGATAATTGTTCACAATAAAATAACCAAGGTCACAATTTGTCACTAAAGTTTTGGGGTTGAAGAGCTTTATGAAGTGTATATGCTTGCATTAGGCATTCAGTTTATTTTTTTTTATCTAACTTTGCACTTTCACTGTAGGAAAAGTCATAAAATCAGAGCAGTTTGTATGAAATGCCCACAAGGTTTGGATTTGAAATTACTACAGTAAACACTTTCACTTATCCGCACTGCACTGCACTCCCTGATATTTTATCATATTTACTACGCACCTGGTATTTAAATTTAAACATCTTTAATATTTTCTTGCATTTTCTTTAAAATTCTTATAGAACCTCCCCAATTACAAAAATACGGCGTCTGGTTTAAATTACCATATAACATCGTTAATTTCAAATTACTGAAGTCTTTGAATTTAATATAGATTATTTCAAAAAGTTCACGACCATTAAACTGATGATATTCTCAAATAAAGAGACGCGTTTTACCATAACCATCATGGATCACGACTTCTGCTCAATCTGTCATTTCAATTTTGCACCGTCTTTGCGTTGACGACGACTGTACAACAGTTCCACAATTCCTGGGTGAAGCTTAATTTTCTGAATTTTATACCGCTTTACATCCATTTTTTTCAATTATTGAGTATAACATAATAGGATTGAAACTTAGGTCTATCTTTTGTTATATATATTTTATTATATATCAATTTGCGACCTAGACAACTGAATCGAAATATGACAAAACAACTAAAATGACTTATATGAATATTAAATTATTTATGGTGAAAGTATACATATATGACTCCTTCATATCTTTACAGAAACATTGATCTAATAACATCTTATTGACATTCACACTTGTTGTTTTTAGACAACCTATTATTATTGTGAATGGTTCAATCTAAAGTTCGAGATGACCAAATTTGCTTTTAAAAGTTACAATGACCGAGTTTGTTACGACACGTCATACATCATAGGTTTTTGGGCACCAGACGTATCTGACTATGAAAATTTGTGGATTAGAATCAAGCTAGCATCTATACAGTTAAAGATGCCCTAGGAATTTCCAAAAACGGCTTTTAGTTCTCGAGTTTATTCACACTAAATTGTCAGTTTCTCTCTTTAAATGATGGTGTTCTACTAAGTCGTTGACTAAACTACATAAAAAAGTTGATGAGAAATCTGCTGATAGAATGTAGCACTGTAGATGCTCAATTCAATAGATTCTAATAATCTTGAACAAATATTGTTGAACATACATTCAATATTAAGAAAATAAAGCTTCTGTTTGTAAATTAGGAAACGGGCATGTTCAGAAATACAGCGATTAAAATGCCAAGGTAAAAAAATCGCTTAAAAGAATCGAGTTGCATTGATTTATATGGGGATAAACTCGATGAGAGATTAGGAAATATTGATATTCCAGTTCGAGATAAGCGAAGTCAATCTCATCAAAGCATCATACTGAACTAAAATAGATTTATCCGAGTAACGAACACGACACTTTGTTTTCTACGGGGAAATCATAGCACTTGATTGACTCACAAATACATGAACAATTTGTGGCCTTTCTTCAATTTTAAGGCGTGAATAAGATGATAGTCTGGGTAAGTTTCAATAAAATGAAAATGGAACTTTTGTGTTCGGGTAAACAGTCAGATATCAGAAGATTTATTTCACATAATGGTGGTTGAATTATGATTTTGTTATGCACGTCGTCTCCAACCAATTGCCATGCTCAAGCGAAATGAAGATGGATTTAATCTCTTGACAGTTATTGTCTGAAAGTTGAATAATATATCGCCGTCTTACACACCTGATACCTTTAATCTCTTCAAACCCAGAAAATAGCCTATGTAAAACCACATTTCTAATGGCCTCAAAGACGTTGTATAAGTTTGAGATCTTCTTCGATTCTTTTTGTGGTGGAAATCGAGAGTGACATAGGCAGTAGAAACAGTGCCATACCCCGATTCGTTTTTTTTAAAGGTATTTACGCAGAATGCAGATATCCAATGATTTTTTTTTGGTAGTGCCTAAATGCTAGTATCCTTTTTAAGGAAAATAATGAGTAAATGATAGGGAATTCAGACTTGCTGGACAATGCGCGACCATGAATCGTGAAATCCCATAACGTACGAGATATCAAACTAAGCAATAGATTTTCGTAGTTTTAACTTCATCTTTAAGTTTTGTTAGTTAGTCGCTTTTTTATTAAGTTGGGCAACAAACAGGGCGGGTTACTGTTAAATCTATGCTTGACGCAATGCGTGTGCTCGAATGCAGACCCATAAACTGTGTTTCCACTGACATAAAAAGCCGGCTTAGAGCCGGCTTTTTTGTGTTTTCACTGACAAATTGCCGAACCGTTAGCGTTCGGGAACCGTAACGGTTCGGCAATTGAAGCTTTTCTCGTTCGGCAATTTATCGGGGGCCAAATGAAAGCTTTCGTTTACTCAGTGGAAACACAAAAAGCCGGCTTTTTCTCGTTCGGCAATAGGGGGCGTACTTGTCTTTCCGGCAGCGCGCGCAACTTTAAAAATGGCAGCTTCCATAGCAAACGGATGGACAGACGAAGAGACTCTCTCCCTTTTAGAAATTTGGGGCAGAGGGGATATTCAAGCCTTGTTGGATGGAACCATCAGAGACAAAAAGGTCTACTTAAAAATAACTAAAGAGTTTAACGATAGTCTTGTACATCGCGTGCTGTCAATAATGTGCGACTTTATGATCGAGACCAAAGTCGTTCGGGAACCAGAAAAACTCAGTGTAAACGCAACGTGTTCGGCAATAAAGCTAGCTTAGAGCTAGCTTTCCTTCACAATTGTCAGTGGAAATGCAGTTTATTTCTCTTTAAAATTTCATATCGCATACTTGTCTCTTTTCATCGAGTTTAACAGAAATTGACAGTAAAATAAAATGGCACTGGATTTAAGTTAAGCTACAGTTTTCTTTATTTCGCTCTACTGCATTAATGATCATCAATGACTATTAGTAATGTGTAAAAGTACAAGTGACTCGATACCATACTCGAGTGGTGCTAGAAATATTTTTTTATTGACGATATAATTGTTAATAATTGGTGTCAAGCGTTAAAATCATTATCCAATCATCTAAAGCGATGGAAAACTTTAAAGTTTCTAACAACTGATTTATTCAATAATGATCATTAAATCTGATCATGCATGTCTTATCTCGGCTTTAATTTTTTTCTACTTAAGTCTTTAACCATTAATTGATTTTTGCATGATTTTAAATGAATTCACAGATCACTTATTTGTTGTTATTTTATTACTTGCACTTTTCAAAAAAATTCAGATTGTGTATTTAATGTGTATGTTTCAAAGTAAACATTGGTATGGAGTGAGATGCTTTGTCAATTGAATAAAATTTTTAAATCGGAACCACGTATCCTTAGCTCTCGCCGAACTTATTGAAATTACCGGTTAAATTGCATGCGCAATAACTCAACTATGTATTGGTGCATTATTACTATTTTTACTATTTGAATGAACATAACAATGTTACAGCAAGATTATACATAGCTCTTTTCGGCTTTTGTAGGTACTCAACAGCCTCGCACTCCGACCTATGTTTACAGTGAAATGGCCACAGAAATAACCGTTCGAAAAGCAACATTAAAAGAGAAAAACCTTGGACACTGTCAAGAAAAAATCCGTTTAG